AGACACAAGTTTCAGCTCTGGTGGAAAGCAAATTGAAAATGACAATCCAATGATTCTGGTTGTTTTGTAATGACGATGCAAAATTAATTTTGTGAATCTTTTTCTTTCTTTCTTTTAAAGGAAATGGAAAAATCCGATGCCAATAACTTCTTAATCTTGTTCCGGGATTCAGGCTGCCAGTTCAGATCTCTGTATACATACTGCCCTGATACTGAAGAAATCAATAAATTAACAGGAATAGGTCCCAAATCTATCACAAAGAAAATGATAGAGGGACTGTATAAATACAACTCTGACAGGAAGCAATTTAGCCACATACCTGCTAAAACTTTGTCTGCCAGTGTTGATGCAATTACCATTCACAGCCATTTGTGGCAAACCAAGAGACCAGTAACTCCTAAGAAACTTCTACCAACCAAGGCATAGTAGATGGGAAAAAATTTCCTTCAGACAATTATGATAAACTTGCACTTCATCTTTACTGCCTATAGGAAATAGATTTCTAGTTGCCAACAAGACTCTTAGAACTTAAACTGGACACCCAAGTTCTATTATCATGTCCAACTGGAATGTAAACACAGTGTTTAGGAGTGCAGAAGATTATCGCTTAGGTGATTACAGAAATGTTTGACTTGTGTGGAGATTTGTATGTGCTAATACAGAGTATATCTGCTCTGTATTTTGATTAGAAACACTGAAGCACTGAATGTTCCTCTTTAGTGACTCAAACTACATTTTTTTTACATCTGTTGCCTTATATGTTTGTATTTGTGCTTGTCTTGAAATATTTTTTCTTTCACTAAAAGAATACTTCTTAATATTCTCAATACCATTGAACTTTGCATACAGGCTTACAGTAAAGACTAAATGAGAAGTTGTGTATTACCGAAGAACAGCTGAATGGGTCTGTTCTGCAATATCCTTATTGTATGTTATAACAAAATCAAGATTCAGTCCCCTTAGTATTTACAATTCTTTTTCAATTAAATAATACTGATTTGCTCATAGACTAAACAGTAAAGGAAAACCTTTAGTAAAAAAAACAGTAAAGGAAAAGCTTCCTTCAAATAAATTATTTAACAACTCAGGGTATAGTTTGGTGATGCAGTTATTCCTGTTTCAGTAAGTTGCCATCTGAGAGATGTAATGATTGAACATGTGTGTATTCACAATAGCATTAAAATGTAAAGTAAAAAATTTGATGGGCCTCTAAAACAGTTGAAGCAAATATGCTTTATTCTGCATTGTGCCAGATGAAGAGCGAGCACAGAGTCAGGTACTTCTTCTCCAGGGAAGGAATAGGAACTTGTGAGTTAGGTCCCTGATGTTTGCCTGACAGAACACTAAAAATATTCAGAAGAATCACAGAATTCACTAAGTCACAGATCTTTCAGAAGTCATTTATCTTATTCCCATTGATTTTACTATCCAGGCCACTGTCTGTTCTTCCTGCCTTCAGACCCACCAGCTCAGACAAGTACATCTGACAAGAATTTTCAGTATGTCCTAGTAAATTGTTTTCTTGACACGATCTAATAGCCGATGTCTTGTGACACTGAGTGATTTTTAAATACGTGGCAAAAAAAGCCTAAATGACATTTCAGTAATGTATAATATGGCCAATTACAAAACCAAATTCTAGGCATACTTCAGTATTATTTACCAAGGGCTGCATTTTCTGTCAAAACAGTATTTGATTATTTTATAGATCACTACTCCGTTTCAGTGTTTGTTTCCCTTATAATTTGCTTTTAACATAGCAGTGTTCTGGGAGAAAAAGAAAAAAACAAAAAGAAACTACAAACTTGAAGCCTCCCTTAAATCTGTGGCTGTTTCCATAATGTACACAGTGTACACCAGAGGATTTGCTGGGGGAAAAAATCTCATTCTCAGGAAAAGACTTGAATGATTTGTGATTCTGTTCTGTTTCAGTGTTGTGACAACTACATAAACATAAGACAGTATTGTGCTGTAAGTATGTAGTCCATTCTGTTTCATGAGGAGACTAAAACTATGTCCATATTTCTCTCATTAAACTGCTTTGAGAGAAACTGCCTCACTACGATGATGTACTCATTTACTTCTACAAAAGATGCACAGGAATGAGATATCATTAAGCAGGTTAGAACAGTACTTTTTTTAAATTATTATAAGGCCTTAGGCATCAATGCATCTGATTATCAACATTTTCTCAAAAATGCTGTCAGTTTTACTGTAATTTATGTTCTTATGTATATTTGTTAAAACTGTAAAAAAAAGAAAAACACTTTAAAATACATGTTTAATATGTATGTGGCTCAAAACTGTTTGTGGTTAGCAGATTCCTACTGTTTGCATGTATATCACCAGGATATGTAACTCATATTTCAAGTGTATACAGATCATGTATATAGGATATAAATAATATTAAAAATGGGGGAAGAGGGTTTGCACATTCTGCCTGTTAGACAGTTCCTACAAACACTAAGTAGGAACATCCTGAATAAAAGTATGAAACTGTGTACAATATACAGTGATTCAAAAGACCCGGAGGTTGGAATTAAGTGAAACACGTGCAGTGAACAACTTCAAAAGAAGTTTTATCATTGGAGGCTTTTTATTTCTAAAACCTGTACTCTTGATTTAACTGAAGATTTGCAACACCACAAAGACACACGCTTCAATCTAATCAAAGTGAGCTTAAATGACAGGAATATTCTCCAAGTAATTTTAAATATACGTGAATGTATCATGAAATTTACATTTGTCAACAGGTTAAAGATGTGTGCAATGTTGAAAAGTAGAATGTGAATAATGCAGTTGAAAATTTCATTGCTCGCAGTATAAAGTTTTACTTACCACAGGAAAAGTAAAGCTAGATACACTTTTCCTTTTTAAGCCTGCAACTTTTCTAATTCCAGTGGATCTTTGGTTGGGATCATGTTTAAAAAAAAGAAAAAGAAAAAAAAAAGCTTGCCATAAAGGCCAGTATTTATCACTGACCTTTTCAGAACACACTGGTGCTTTCATCAGGGGTATTATTATTGTTGCTACAATTGTATTGCCAAACTCCTGTCTTAGTTTTTGGAGTAGACTTTCATATTCTAACAGTCATAATAGCTACTGATTTTTTTTTTTATGTTAGTATGACTGTTAGTTTTTATTATTTGGCTGTTTAAAGCCAAATTCAGCTTATTTAATTATGATTTAATGGGCACTGTTGAATAATGTACAGTGTATTGTGTGCTTACTTGTCCACTTCTGTGGAGCATAGCTTCCATATTTTTTCAAATGCTGTGCTGTAAAATATTGTCATTGCTACTTATGTGGTACAGTGTAGTTTTTTCCTTTCATTTAAATAAAAGCATGGCACCCAAACTACATTTTTTGTTTTCTTGCTTACATCTAAATATAAACTGAAACCATAAATAGTTCACATTAATATTTAGATCTTTTTTTCTTCTCATATTTCAGCAACATAGAACTTGTAGGAAATCTGTACCATTTTCATTTCTCCTTTTGTTCCCCATTGTCTTTCTTTCACAGACAGTTTACTTTTCAGATGTTATTGGAGACCATTGAAGAATTAGGCACTTCATCTCATTCTTGAGGACAGCATGTTTTTACCCTGTTCTGTTCAGAACTGAGTTTCACAATTGTAAGTCAGCTGATAAGCTCCAGTACTCCAGTTCGCTTCCACTGTTCCAAAACCACAGAAAACTCACTGGTTGGTAACAGTGATTGCTTCAGATGGGAAGGTTTTCAAGATGAACTGGAGCCTTAACTTGTACTTGTTCGTGGTACAATCTTGAACAGGAATAGTATCAAAAATACGGTCTCTCTTCCAGATTTGTTAATTAACAGTTTTTTCCAGTCTTTCATGCCTTTTTGGGGGTTTTGTGTTGTCCTCCTGGGTTGCAGAGCAAGAGCAAGGACTTGCTGAAAGGGAACATGACATCACTGCATTGTCAACAGGCAGGCTGAATGGTTGGACTAACTTATGCAGATAAAAAAATCTCTAAATTTCAGAGCTATTCAAAGGGCAGCTTCAAGAATGCAGATGTGATAGTAGGGCTTTTAGTGCTGAACTGAAAACTAACGTGGATAAACATGAATAGCCTTCCCTCTTCCCCCTAAAACTGGGTATTTTTCAGCCAGCTCAATCAGTTCCTGTACAGCATCACAAACAGGCTGCCACAAGCAAGGAATTATGTTGGAACACAAAACACCCAGTTGCACCCACTAAAGCTGTTTTTTCATTGGTGAGGCCAGCTCAAAATTTTCATCTAAACCCAGCCTTTGTACTGACAGGCTTTAGAACCAACTTCATTTTCTCTATCCTTCCACCAGTAACACCACACTTGAGAAACTTCAGAGCATACCCTGCTTAATTTGACAGACTATGACCACCATGTGTCTGAATTTGAATCAACATCTGTACTGCTGTGGGATCCAGAGAGGACAGCAGATATCTTCTATCACCAACTGCACAATAATCATCTTGGTTACACTCAGAACCTAAGCTTTTGGATCAAGCACACTCAGAGGTGATGTAGAAAATGGCTTTAATTCTCAAATCCAGTTGTATTGATCAGGTGTGGATGTTTCTTCTTTAATAAATTAATAAAAACAAGGCTTTATAAGGGCAAAACCTTTAACTACATCTATCTTTTCAAACAGCGAATTAGCATTTCTTTGCTGCCTTGTTAGTAGTTTAATGAACTTAATACGTACTTTGAAGAATTTAGGCTATAAAGATCTATCTTGACAGCCACAGCCCCTTACATCTGCTTGTACATTTCCTAATTAATTAAAAACCTTTAAAAAAAAAAACATAAATTATCTTATTTCAGTTCTCCATGGCAGAAAAAAAGTATTTTTAACATGCACAGCATCTTTGTTTATAAGTACTTTGTTTTTAAAAGTTAACTATTCCATTTAGGAAAAAAAGATATGAATTGTGTTTGTGTATGAATACATATAAATGCACATACACTTGCAGATTTACTTGCTTCCACATGTGAAAAGAAATACCCTTTATTTAGACAACCACAGCAAAGAGTTAGATACAGTAGGGAAATTACACTAGCTTAATTCCTTCTAGCAAGACAGAAAATCAGCTACCTTGTCCGCTTCGCACTTGGAACTATGGTCTTTGTAAGAGGCAGGGAAGTGATACACAACACAGACGTTTAAGAGCTCAGTACAAACTCTTTGGGAAATGGAATGCTTAATGCCAGCCTTTTTTTCAAATTTCTGAATTCAAGGATAACACTGCTGGATGCCAGACAGAACTGCCTCTGATCTGAAAAGCTAGTAACTAGGATTTCAAGAAAGGATAAAAACCTTAAGAGAGTTAAGCATTCCACTGAAAAATGTTATTTAAAACTTTCTTCAGATTCTAACTCAACATTACAAACAGCTGAATGTCTAAAATACTTAGGAGTAAGTCATTATCCAGTGACACATTTGTTAAGCAAAGCACTGAAGGAATTTCTTTTCATATAAAATGTGTTTAAATTTTCAGGTAATGGTATGGAACTTTATGGAAACATACAAAGTAGTGTCTATGGGCATTTTTATGTCAGTGTTAATCTCTTAATGGAGCTTTGCAGAAGGACTCAAAGCTAATACGAAGCTTTCCATCAAGGCAGCTCTGTCTTATTCTTTCTACATCATCACTGATCTAAATGTCTGCATTACAAGACCTGGCAAGGCCCCACAAGCCTGCAATTATTTAAATTACCCAAAGCCAGATTACACTTTGGCTTGGTGTTTTTCTTGTCTGAACTACTTGAAACTGGAGCTGTGATGGTGACATAAACAATTCTGCTATAGTTTATGTAAGAATTTTGCTGAATTGTCACCCCCAAGTTCTGGAAATCCTTTCTTGAAATGAGTGAAAACTGTTTCCAGAATTAAAGTTTTAAACAGATTTCATTTCTTTCACCTTTTCAAAAGACCATTTGAACATAGCATAAAATGTAAAGAGTTGAATGGCTCTGTTACAATGGCTACAGATCAGGGGATTGGCCTATTTTTATGCTGACAGTACAAAGATGCTTTGCTGGACTCCACTGTCAGATCTTAGGCCAAGTTAGCGCTGAGGAGCAGTTCTAAGAACATATCCAGCCCTGCTGACATGGTCTGCAGCCACCTGCAACAGCTGTAAAAAGGTCACACAGTGACTGTCTTATTTCCTCAAGCATGCCAAGGTCAGCCTGCAGACTGCAGTGCTCTGTCTTGTCAGCAGACAATGCAGAATTCCTCTCCTAATCCTGATTTTCAAGCTCTCTAAAACCCACACCCATCAGCGTTGCTATTCATGGGAGTTACCTGCTTTGCAACAGTGACTAGGGAGTTCAAAACAAGCGGAGACCATTCCAAGGACATATTTCCATGCCTGACTAAAGTTAGGAACTAGCAAAGAACAGGGTCTTTCATCTGCCCTTTTCCAACAAGATGCCACAATGTACCCTCACTAAAGAGTAGTACTGTGCACCTAGTAATGCTACCTATACTTCCATTCATTTTCTTGAGGCTGGATACTTGGTTCCTGAAATCTCTTCCAGCCTATAGGAATCTGCTACGTCCTTGTGAAGGGCCTGAAATTCAGAACAGGAAACAGATTTCATCTCAGGACCTTCACTGAAAACAAAGCTATTGTACAAAAGAAAGGTAAACCATCGTAACATCACTGTGAAATTGAGATTAAATTTAAAAGCATATGTGTGTTCACCTAGTGTTTTGTAGATTAAACCTAATTTACAATTGACTTGTCTTACCCAAGCGTACATTCAGCAAAGTTATACATACTGCTCTATTTAGACAATTAAAGTCATCTTGGTTTTCTGCACTCCGATTTATCAGTTCTGTTATATCCTAATATATTGGGAAACCCAATCAAGAATTTCTATAACTACATTTTCTATTAATTAGTGCCTCCAAAGGCAACCGAGCAACAAGTGGTAGCTTTATAAGTAAACATCAGGATTTGGTGCTTTACTGGTAAGTCTTGCTTCCTGGGATGTGATGCTGCGACTTGAGTGTTGCAGAAGGAACCATCAAGTTCCCCATTCCTTGCTTGTCCCTGGCAGAGTCACTGCTGTGCAGCTGTGCAGCCAGGCTGCACTCCCCACTGGACCGCCTTCAGCCAGGACATATCTCTGTATCATGATGAAAAAATTAATAAAACATAAAATTTGATCTTTGCTACATCCTTTGTCAGTGATTTGTCACATCCTTATGTTGCCAGGGCCTGCCAATGTGCTGCAGCATACACACAGGGGGTTTGCCCAAGTGTACTAGAGCTCTAATGTGATTTTAATATCTCATCTCATAGCTATATTTAAATACTGAGAAAGCGTATTAGCTGTTCACCATGGTAATTCTCAGACGCCATAATTTTGAGTTACAAAAACCGCATAAAATCCAACCAAATGACAACTTATACGTATAAAGACATCTTCATAATATATACACCATACGCATACATATGATTTCTTGAAGAACGCGTTCTTTTCCAGGAAGCAGAAGACAGCAGAACCACCACAAACCCCCTCGGCTGGCCCGAAATGTGGCCGCGTCTCACGCACTAAAGCTGTCGCCAACGAGCCATAAGCCGCCGCCGCACGAGCGAAGGAAACCCGGTTGTGGCAGAGCTTGACGGCAATCCCCATCCAATGGGGGAACGGTGCACCTGCTGTTATGTGGCTTTAGATACCCGGGAGGCGCTCGGGCGGTACCTGGCGGCTCGGCGGGCAGCGCGGAGAGCCGAGCGGCTGAAGGAGCCTTTTGAAGGGCCGGGGCTGCATGAGGAGCCCGGGACACCCGCCCCGGAGACGAGGGGCGTGTTTGTAAGTTATTCCCAGAGCCGCACTCCCCGTTAGACAGCCGTTCCCTAGGAACGCGGCGGGCGAAGGCGCAATGGACCGCTCCCTCGGGACAGGCCCGGAGCCGCCGCGAAGTTTCGCGAGAGGACTCCGCTGAGCCGGGGCCGACAGCTGCTCCCCCTCCCCGCCGTGGTTACCTCAGCCTTGGGGCTCGCCCCGCCGCTAACAAAGCTAACCCCACCCGCCTCAACGCGGCGACCGCCACCATCGGCCCCTCCCACCCACCCGCCCTCGGGCGCGGCAACGCCCAGCCGGCGCGGCCCCGCCCGCCCCAGTCGCCTTCCAGTCAGGCAGCGGCAGGGCCACCCCGCCCGGGTGCGGCGCGGGGAGGGTCTTGCGGCGCCGCGCCGCCGGCAGTCCGCGGTGAGGGCGGGTGGGAGCCGCAGAGCAGGAACGGAACCGGAGTGAGGCCCTGACACCGGGCCGGGCCCGCCCCGCCCTGCAGTGAGGCTTGCCGCCATCTTTCCTCTCACGCCCCGTTGGTGCTGCGCGAACGGCCCGCTGGGTTCCTCAGGTGAGTGTCGGGGGGCGGGACGGAGGACGAGGAGCCGGGGCCGCGTGAGTGTACGGGGCGGTGAGTCCGGGTCTGCGTCCGCAGTGGTGTGAGGTGGGAGCTGCCCGGCGCCCCGGAGACCGTGGGGCTGCCTTGTCGAGGGGCCGCGCCCCGTCTCCGTCGTACGGGGGTGGCCATGCTAATGGGCCCGCGGCCGAGGGGAGCATCGCCGCGGCTTGCCGGCGACGCCCGACAGCCGCCGTCCCTTTGTTGTGGCACCCGCGGGTGGGCCGGGCCGGTGGGCCGCGGTGGCCGGCTCGGTGCTTACCGGCGCCCCTGCCCCGGGGCGGGCGCGGGGTGTGCCCTGGCAGCGGGGCCGCTTCAGAGGAGCGTCGGCTCTGCTGCGGCCCTGTCGGTGCTGAGCTGACATTGCCCACATGCTAATTCGGGCTCGGCGCTGTGTAATTAGTGCGGCTGCTCCGAGCCTTTTCTTTATAAGAGCTGGATTTCCTCTGGAATTGCCCGTGAAGAGGAAAAAAGACTGGAGCAAGTGTGGGGTTTGGTGTTTTTTTTTTAAGCCGAAATATATTCATTGCTAGTCTGTAACTTGTTTGGATTTTTCATTTTACTGAATTATACTTTAACATGGAAGTATTGTATAATTTAATGTCACCTTTTTCGCATTCATGGTGCAGAAAGGTATGGATAAAGAACGTGCATATTGTAACCGGGATTGATGAAGGCAAAGAGCTCTGCCAGTCACTTCCAAAGCATAGTGAGATAAGGGTTGCTGTGGTGGATCTAAAGCAACAGCTGATCTAAGCAGGGTAAAAAAAAAAAAAAAAAAGGGTTACTAGAGGGCAAGCTAGTGAAAAACCTGTGTGAGGAAGAAAAGGCTGATAAGAGGGCACTTGGTTGCTGTATGGTAGAGCAGAAAAAGGTTTCAGTTACAGAGTTCAGCTGTGCAAACTTTGAAGGTTTTCTATTAAGGCCTTAATGTGCTTAATGTAGTTCATTTGAAATAATGAATTGTGCTTTCTTTTGGAGTGAAGTGGGTGTCAGTGAGTTGTACTAACTGTTTGGAAAACAGTTGTAACAGAAAATAAATGGCTTGTAGGCTTGTTTGGGTTTTTTTCAAAATCTTTTGGTGTGGAATAGCTGGAAGGTGATTGAGGGCACATGAGAAAATGCCACTAAGAACTCGCTGGGCCTGAGTCCCTCACGGGGTCTGTGTAGCCAGAACTCAAGAGTGGTTTTTCGCCTGGCCCAAGATCCATATGTAAGTGACTGTGGAATGGATTAAAAGGTAAAATAACTTGAAGCAAAGCAGCTAGCTTTTTTAATATGTATTTCTTCTTCACGTTTGGTTTTTCTGTGACATAGCTCACAGAGATGCTGAGGTTATGGATATGCACTGCAGCTGTCATTGAAGTCAGTGAACCAAGACTTCTAATTAGGCATTGCTTCTCCCTTTAAATGTATCACTGCTGTCAGTGTGACACTCCAGATTTGAACTCTGATATTTTATTCTTGTATTTCTGAGTAATTAGAGGTTTTATATTCCTTGCCCTGTTCTGTGAATGTGTATTATGTGAGTGATGTATTTCAAAAAATAAATAATGTAGGAATAACATTTATTTTAGAATTCCCTATTTACTTGTATTTCCAGAACATTAAATGTTACTTCAGCCTTCTAGTATATTAATGCCTATACATTTTAAATTTCTTTTAAGAGATGTAATCTAAAGAGAGACTGGTTAGCCACTATTTTTTGACACTTAAAATTCATAAAGATTTTTCGGAATTAGTGTATTTCTGTGCATAACTATTCTTTTTTTAAATACTGTTTGCTGTGCTTACAGCACCATGAGAGGGTGCTTGCTGTTGGCGTGTTCTGAGAGCATGAGTAAGAACAGAACAAGGGTGAAACCTCTCTCTGGAAAATTTAGGAGTAGGCAGCCTGTGTTACAAACAGCTTGTTTAAAGGACATGTTGTCTGCTGAAGATGTAGAGAAAACTTGTGCCAGGGTTTGTGGTGAGAAGTGTGTCTTTTTTTATTGATGCAGATTTATTAGGAGGAAAGCAATTTAAATACAGAACTAGTAGAAGAGGATAAGGGGGAGTGATGGGAGAAAAAAAAAGGACAGGTGTGGAAAAGTACAGTTCTGGAAAGACTGGGTAAGATAAGAATTGTAGCCAAAACCTGGTTAATAGAAGGCACTGGATATGTTATGCTATAATACTTATTCACTTTCATTTATACCACAAGCTAATGCTGTGCTCCAGTCATTCTTGAGTATTAGTGCTTGAGCTGATCAGATTGTGACGTTATGTGCCATATGGGCTGGCAGAAAGCACTGTAGTGGGATGAACCAAGATACAGCTTGAGCTCTATAATTGAGTTTCCCTGCTGTTCTTTACTTTTTAATTATTATTTTTATTTATACACATATATGCATATTGCTGAATGTCAGAAAAACTGGTAGGGGTGACGTGTAAGCCTGTGTATTTTTATAATTTTATGATAGTATTACAGTGCTGCTTATTACTTTGACAGCACAATGCTCATAAGAGAAGTCTGAGCTCATCAGCCAGAAACCCATTGACTACATGAAAATCTCCAGCAGATTTATTGTTCTTCTCTAGCTATTTGTGTTGCTCTGATAGCACATGCACATTGAATATATTTATAATACTGTTAATGTATGAGCTTAACACTGTACTTTAACTCTGCTGAAGTTCAGTATCCAAGCTATGTTTGGATATTACATCTTTCTTGACAGGCCTGCAGAAGTGCTGTGACTAGTCCCATATCAAATATGGAGGGTGGCCCATCATCCTTTTTCCTAATTTGTATGGGTAATTGTCATGGTTTAAGCCCAGCCAGTAACTCAGAACCATGCAGCCTCTTGTTCACCCCCCATTTTCTCTCCCCTCTCTGGGCAGGATGGGGGCAGAATTGAAAGAATTTAAACCCCATAGAGATAAGAACAGTCCAATAATGCAAGTATAATATAAAACTATTACTACTCATGATAAGGGAAATAAGGGGAGAGAAAAACTAAAAAGGAAATGGAAATAAACAACAATAAGCACAGGTAATGCACAGTATAGTTGCTCACCACTCACTGACCAATACCCAAGCAGTGATCTGGGCCTTCTGGGTGACATCCCCCAGTTTATATACTGGGCATGACATGCTATTGTGTGGAATAACCCTTGGCTAGTTTGGGTCAGGTGTCCTGTCTCTGCTACCTCCTGGCTTCTTGTCCCCCTCCTCACTAGCAAAGGGTGAGAGACTGGAAAGTCCTTGAGCAGGGTAAGTGCTACTGAGCAACAACTAAAACTCCAGTGAGTTATCAGCATTGTTCTCAGACTAAAGCCAAAACACAGCACTGCACCAGCTACTAGGAAGGGGAAAAATAGCTGTTACAGCTGAACCCAGGACAGCAGTATAAATAAAGTGTTAGACTTGGCAAAGGCTTTATGTTCAGGACAAACCTGTTATTTTAAAACTACAGTGGAGAGGGCAACTTTTTGCAGGTGCTAGTTTTTGCTTAATATAGTTGTACTCTGAAGCAAAGTACTGAGTGTTATGCTCTCTTTTTAAATCAATAGATTATATAAATAATTACTGTTAAGAAAATACTGAAACTCTGTAGAGTGACTTCCTATTTAGTCTTAAGTCCAGTAGATCCAGTTGAAAACAAAGCTGGGCTTGGAGTTACTTTCTTCAAAGGGAGTCTTAGTCTGAATTTTTCTAGTAGTTTTACTTTGGCAAGGAAATGAATTTGGTTGATTTATATAAAACCCACCCGTGCAGAAATAAAAAAAAAAAAGGAGAAAAAATGCAAGTGCATTAGGGGGATTTGGGGAATTAAGATGTTAATTATAAACCATTGGTTAAATTTGTGTTGATTTTTTTTTTTTTTTTTCCCTTTCCTTCATTGTGTAAAGTAGGATTAAATTTTTCTCTGAAACAAAAAATCCATATCCAGTTGCTGAAAGGGGAAGTTGAAACAGTGCTAAAACGTAAGGAAAAGGTATATTTCTACAAATTCTGGCTTTGGATTTATGTGTCTGATTTCTTTCCTGCAGCAAAGCTTTCTGCAAGCCAGATTTTAATTTCTGACTTTACTAGCTGAGAGTGGGTTCGTGGTCTCTAGGGTGTCCTGCATGAGACCCATCACAGTGCTTGGTGATGGGAGTGTTCAGTGCCTGAAATGAGAACTGAGCCCAGCTATTTTACAAGAGAAGTAATGCCATTCCATCTGGCACAATTAGGTCTCCCTTGTCCCAGAATAAACTATGCTGCTATA